ATGGTTTTGTGTCTGTGTTTTGTATCCTGTTCTCTTTAATACGGGCAGATGCTGGACCTTCTGTCTTGTGTCTCTCTTGTGTGCGCCATCCTTTGCCTTCTCACTGCCAAAACTGAGTACCGCCCTCCCCTGCAGTGCCTATAGAGCAGGCCGATTAGATCTAGATGATTCTGTGCCTTAAGCCTTTGGCTTTGGTAGGTTAGCCATCATTTAATGGAGGGATTTGTTTGTTTTTGTTGGGGGACCAGTAGCCGACAGCGAGACCCCAGAAACTGAGAAGCCAGCAGAGGGAGCAGCAGCCTCCACCACCAAGACAGAAGAGGAGGAGGAGGAGGAGGAAGAGGAGGATGACAGCCTTCCAGGGTGTACTCTGTTTATTAAAAACCTCAACTTCGACACCACAGAGGAGACGCTGAAGGAAGTGAGTGGGTTCTCGGGATAGGAGGAAGAGCGTGGGTGTGGTGTGGAGCCTCAGGGTTGGGACCGGTGTTTCCTGGGAGATGCGCTGCAGCGCCAGCCCAGGAGCATCCTGGGAATTAAAGGCTCGGGAGCTGGCAGGCACGGCCGGACGATGGAAGTCAGTTACTGTCCCGAAGTACACACAGCCCACAAGCAGCACCGCAGGGAAGGGCCCCGCTCACAGGACTCCTGTCCGGCTGTCACCTGAGTGTAAAGCTATGATCTGCATCCATCCGCCCGGGCCTGGCTCCCGGCTCCACTCCTTCACAGTGGTGTGCCCTGGGCGGTCCTTCCCGTGCCCTGGGTTCCCCTTCTGTCGTGTGGAGAGGTGAATGGAATGGCCTCGCAGGGCCGCTGAAGGTCTGGTGAAGTGACGAGATCATCCAAGCTGCGTCCGGCTCTGGCCACCAGGCTGTTGCTTGGATCGAGCGTTTCCTGCTCCCCGTTTCCCATTGTGCGCTTGCTGTCCCCTGGTCCTGTGTGTTTGGTGCCAGAACCAGATGCACATGGGTTCTGCTCTGGCTGGGTTCAAGCAAGAGAGAGAAAAGAGAAAGAGAGAGTTTCATGTGACTAAAATTAAAAGTTTTTAAAAATCCTTGGAGGTTTAAGTGCAGGGGCAGTGAGGCTGGGCCTGGATCTGTGGACGCCACGCCTCCAAACGGCTTCGCTCTGGCCTGGTCCGCAGCAGCAGTTACTGCTCTGTACCCCACCTGCTCCCCCTGTAGCCAGGGGAGAATCCCGCTCAGCATCCCCAGGGGGCTGTCCAGTCCCTGAAAGCGGGCGTCTCCCGTCACCTCCAGTTGACGTCCCCAGGATCTCAGTGGCAGGTTTGGGGGTGCAGTCTTCCTCACCTGAAGTGTTGGAGCCTGGGGCCGGCACCCCTGGTACCCAAGTCCCCATCTCAGCCAGCACTTCCGAGCCCTGTAACCCCGGTGGGAACCATCCCTGAACCCCTGAGCCCTAGTCTTTGCATCTGAAAAATGAGGCGTCATCGTGGAGCCTCCCCAGGCCCGACTGAGTTAACCATGCAGGGGGCCCAGTGTGGGATTGGCCGCGGTGTGTCACTGTGATCCCGCCCTTCGCCATGCCAGAGGTGGCAGGTTCACCTGGAAAAGAGGGTGATGCCTGTGAACTTCCTTCCCCAGGTGTTTTCCAAAGCGGGGGCACTGAGGAGCTGCTCTGTCTCCAAGAAGAGGAACAAAGCAGGTACGCTACCTGAAATCTCAGGAGAAGCTGTGCCTGCGGAACAGGCTCAGAGTAGCGCTGCAAAAATAAACTTCCCACAGCTGTGTGAAATGCTGGGCCAGAAGGGGGCGAGGGATGCATGAAATTTCATGTCCGAGGGGCAAGATATAATGAGAGATCTGTTTTTAGTGCGCATACACGCACGCACAGTATCTGGCCAGAGGGGAGAGCGGGCAGTAGCCAGTGACGAGTCCGCTCCATAGCCGGACCACATCCGAGATTCAGAAGGGGAGTGTGAGCTGGGCGTGGTGACACACACTTGTAATCCCAGCTGAGACAGAAGGATTGCTGTGAGTTAGAGGCCAACCTGGGCTACATAGTGAGACCCCGTCTCAAAAAACAAGAGTGAGAAAAGAAAGGGAAAGAACGTAGGTGTGGCCGGTAGGCAGGAATACTTGTAAAGAGGAGGCCTTTGGTTTCCGTGTATGTGTTTATCACATGCGTTACGTGTGGAAGCAGGCAGCCCAGGTCAAGGTGTCCCCACTCGCCACAGTGGCGGTCATCCTTATTAGCGCCCGCTCCCCGCGCGGGGCGGAATCCTGTTACAAGGTAATTACCATGCCGGTCATGGGTCGGCAAGCCTCAGATGGCAGCCGTAGAGAGTGCTCCTTGGCGGAGTTCTTTGGATGCCAGGGGTCCTCTGGATGGCTGGTCATAAGTGGGGAGCCACTGCTGAGGTCTTCTTGGGGTGGGAGAGGTTGCAGCAAGAAGGGAAAGTCACGCGTGGACCCTGGGCCCGTGGGAGCCTCGAGCATGGTCCTGGGCTCATCCTTGCCCCCTCCCGCTGCCTGCTGGCGGGGTTTCTTTTGCTCTTGCAGGCGTACTGCTGTCCATGGGCTTCGGGTTTGTGGAGTATAGGAAGCCGGAGCACGCACAGAAAGCCCTCAGGCAGCTCCAGGTAAACCGGGTTCTCCCGGCTTGGCTTGAGGGTGCATCGATGTCTGAGTCCGCGTTGTCCTGGGCCTCACTTTCACCAGGTCTCTGGGGGACCTTTATTAGCCCTCTGATTCATTGAGGGGAGGGGGGCTGCACATGCGAAGGACCTGTGGCAGGGAGTAAGGTGGGGACGAGAACGCTTTCCCACCAGGCCTGAGCACCAGGGCAGATGGGGCCTGGAATGTGCAGCAGCCCGAGGCCACCTGGCCTTGCTGGAGAAAGTGGCCGCAGTGCCCCACGTAGACACCCCACACGGATGCGCCACGGCCGCTGGCAGTGCTGCATGCACAGTAGAGAGTAGTGTACTTTCCTGGGTTTTTGTTTTTTAAAGAGCTCCAGATTGTAATTAGATGCTGTGTACTCATTTAACTGAAATTCAGCTCTACCTGTTCAGGAGTCCATCTCTCTCTTTGCTATATTTGAAGATTCTGTAAAATTCCATTCACACACACAGCAAGCAGTGTGCATGGCCATATGTGTGCACACCATCAGCAAGGGCTGGCGTTGTCTGGGCCAGTTGAGGGGTTTCCCGGCATTGCACTAATGTGCCAGCTTTACCTTGAGGGTCTCAGGCTAGAGCCCAGCTTAAGTGCAGCTGCTGCGATGTTGAATATTTTTTGAAAGGCCACAAATTAAACCAGGCTGCACACCAGACCCAGCAGGCCCCCGCCCCTGAAAATGCTCATAACCAACGGGGAACTCTGTGCCCCTGAATGGCAGGAAGTCCAGGGCTCCTTTGGGTCAAGGGACATCAGAAGGCTGGGTCTCTGCCCTCAATTCCCATCAACACTCCTCCTTTCCCCATCTTGAGCCGGGGCTCCGCTGTGTGGAGGCCAGGGGTGCAGAGGAGTCTGAGGACAGGGACAAGCCATGCTGTCTTACCTCTTAGGGTCACGTCGTGGACGGCCACAAGGTGGAAGTGCGGATCTCAGAACGAGCCACCAAGTAAGTCTCCCACAGCCCTGCTGCAGGAGGTTGGCACTGGTCCCTGCTGTCCTCAATGCTGGCCGCCCGCAGGGTGTCTCGCGGACCTTGAATGTCCTTCTCCCCAGTGCCCCTCACTTATTTAGGATTCTCCCTTTTTTTTTTTTTTTTTTGTCTTTTTGTCTTTTTGAGACAGGGTCTCGCTATGCAGTTCATGTTGGTCTTAAGCTCACTTTGTAGCCCAGACTGGTCTCGAACTCACATTGATCCTCCTGCCTCAGCCTCCTGAGTGCTGGGATTACAGATTGTGCTACCATGCCCAGCTCAGGATTCTCCCTTATTAAGGGGCCTGATTGACATTGGCCTTTGCAGCTCTGACCCTGTGCCCCTCCTAAACTGGAACCGTGCTGGGCCTTTGCATGAATTCTTCTTTCATTTTTTAAATATTGTATTAGTTCACGTTCACAGCATGTAATGTTCACGTTCCTGTGGGGATTGGTGCATGGACAGAACACGTAATTTTTTTAATCTCCTTCCCATCTCTTGATCCTCTTCCCTTTTGCAAAAGCTCTATCTCTCTATTTCCTGCCACCTTTTATTTGTTCTTTATTTAGACTTTGGTTCCTCTTATACAAGAAACCATGTGCTGTTTAAGCTCATGTGTATGATTTATTCCACTTAACATGATGATCTCAAACTGTCCATTTTCCCAAAAGTGGTAATGCCTGTCCTTCTTCATGGCAGAGTAATACTCTACTGTGTGTAAATACTTTTTCTTTAGCCATTCATCTGCTGATGTGCGTATGGGCCACTTCCAAAATTTAGCTCTTCTGAATTGTGCTGCTATAAATGTGTCACTGTAATATGATGTCTTTTACTTTTGAGGAAGATACCTACAAGGGCAATAGCTGGGTTGGGTTTTTGACACACTCTTTTTATAATAAAACAAGTAAGTGTAGGAGAAACAAGCAACTAAGACTTATCTCAGTGGCAGAAACAAACCCTAAAAGAGCTGGATGTTGCTGGTGCTTCAGACGAACCCTAAGAGGCTGTAACACCCGGCATTCGGTTTTCCGGGACTGTGTTTCTGCGAGCTGGACGGCAGTGCCCAGAGACAGTGCAGGTCATCGGGGGGACTCAGCAGCTCCCCGGAGGTCGCCTCCCGGCACAGCGCGGTGTCTCTGAGTGTCTGGCTCAGCGCCTGCGTCTCCACCTGCTCGTCATCTGAGTGACCACACTATGGGGCGCCCAGCAGTTTTCACTGCAGGACCCGTGCCCCGTAAGCCACTGCATCACCGCCATCCTCATCTCCCTGCCAGAATGACGGCTTCAGCAGTCCCGGAGCTGGCTTAGGACACTTAGTCGGCCGTTGCCAGCAAGTTGGCCTTTTGTCGTGATCTTTGCGCGAAAGAGCCGCCGACAGGCTGACCGAGCGCGCTTTCCCTCCTCTGCTCGTAGCCGCGTGTGAGCCCGGCTCAGAGAGTGGGGAGGAGGCTTGGCTCGGGCCCTCTGGAGTCTCGTGCGTGACCCTGGGCAGGTGACGACCTGGAGAGTAACGGGGCACACCGGGGCTGTGTAGAAAGCACGTGCCTCGTGCCAGGCCCTGAGCACTTGGCAGGGCGGGCGTCTCCCTTTCCGTGTCCCTTCTCACAGCAGCCTGGAGTCAGCCTTGCCTGCTCCAGCCTCCTGACCGACTGTCTCAGTCTGTTCTGTCACTGCGACGCGATGCCCGATGCTCGCAGCTGAAAGGAAGTGTTGATTGTGGCCCCCACTTCAAGAGTCTCAGCCCTTGCGTGGCCAGCTGACTCCAAGGCAGGACAGCGGGCGCAGGGCCGGGGCGGAGGAAGAGCTGCTCGCCGCGTGGCAGCAGGGAGCAGAGGGCGCCAAAGGAGGAGCCGGGAGGGGAGAGAGAGCCTCGGGGTCAGGACCGCAGTGGCTGCCCCTTCCAGATGTCGGCCCCGTGATCCAGTCACCTCCCAACGCTCCCGCCTCGGAGCCCACGAGGATTAGGAGGGAATTTAGAGAGAAACCACAACGCCAGTGTCCGTGACATTGTGTCCGTAGTCAGCAAATGGATGGAGAGGGCCAGAGAGCCCCAGACTCTGCCTGCGCATCTGCTGGTGGTGTTCACACCGCAGGCAGTGCTCTTGAAGAGAGCCATCCACGGCGACGGAAGCGTCCCACACTGGTGCTATCCTTGGGGTGGCAGGTGCCACTGCCCCCATTACCGTCTGCTCCTCAGCAAACCACGCCATACTCGTAACTACGACAGCAAAAGACCCGTCCTTTCAGGTTCTGTGGCTGGAGTCCGGGAGCAGCCCTGCTGTGGGGCTGGCTCTGCCTCTGGGAGGCTCACGACTGTCCCTGCGTTGCCAGGATGTCCCCGCTTTGCCGTGGCCTGTGCCTCGCCCCTGGGCTCACCCTGCGCCTGCTCAGTGTCCCAGTGCTGTGGTGCTGGCTTCCCCAGAGCGAGGAGGAGGAGCAGTGTCTTGCCTGAGCTGTGTCCCAAGTCACACACAGTAGCTTCAGTTGCACAGGGCCTCAGAGGTCAGGAGGACCAGGAGGCAAGATTGTTGGGGGCCAGCTCAGGGCTGCCCCGACCCTGGAGACTGGGGTCCCATTGCATCTCATCTTTTTTTTTTTGGTACCTGGAATAGAACTCAGGACCTTGCACTTGCCAGGCAGACACTGTGCCACTGACCTATATCCCCAGCCCTGCATTTCATCTTAATTCAGACTGAAGTAGCCACTGGGGCTGCCATGTGGGACAGCATTGCCCGTGGGGCAGCACTGCCCTCGGGACAGGGAAACGTGGCTGAGGTGTAGTGAGCTGTCAGGTGGGTGAGTGCGAGGAAGGGGACCAAGTCGGGGTGCGTGCAGGGGCTGCTGACGGAGACAGGGAGACCTCTGAGAAGGCGACGGAGCAGGAAGTCAGGACAGTCGTCATCACCACAGCCTGTGGGCACGGTGCCGTGTGCATCATTAAACCTCCGCCATTCTCATGGGGGTGCCACTGCTGCTCCTCCCACTCTGCGTCTGCGAGGTCAAGCCCAGAGGGGCTGAGTCACTCGCCTAAGGTGATGCGGGCTCTGGGGGCACTGCATGGCTTTCGCACCTCGCTTGGAGCAGTCGGAGGTGACGTACATGGCGCAGTGTTAGGGACAGCCCAGAACCCTGAGCCGAGAGTCTTCCTGCCATGTGGCCCATCTCTCTCAGGCCCCTGCAGGGTCATGAGATAGGGTGATAGGGTGGTATCCCACACTAGGCCTTTGGGAACCACCCAGCCTCTTCCTTTGCATCTGCAGAGAAGGAGACGGTGAGGTTGGGTTTTGTGGGCGCTCTCTGTCCTCCATCCAGGTCCTTTCTGCTGGCAACAACAGGGGTGTGTCAGCCCAACACCACAGCTGTTTTAGGGAAAGACGGTGACAGTTCCGTTCCCCGGGGGCTCTGCCTTTCTCCTCTTGCATCGTGGCCTCTTCCACACGTGCTGCTTGGTCCATCACCTGAATGTGGCAGGAGCTTCCATTCTGCTAGGAAGGAGGAGGTCAGTGTAGGGCGGGAGCCGTGGCGCCTCCAAGAACCTAAGCTCCTTTCCCTCCTGCTCCAGGCCAGCCCTGACGTCTGCCCGGAAGAAGCAAGTTTCCAGGAAGCAGACGACCTCCAAGATCCTGGTGCGGAACATCCCCTTCCAAGCCGACCTCCGAGAGATCCGAGAGCTGTTCAGGTGAGATGCACGGGTCGGTCCACGGCGCCGGCGAGCAGTGGCTCCTGAGGATGGTGGGCTTAGGCCTGGAAGCTTCCACCGCAGGCCAGCACGGTGGCTGTTCAAAGGTCATCTTCTGGCTCCCTTGGATCTATCTCATGTCATCTCTGACAGCATTGGGCAGAAAAGTGAAACCAGCCAGGCCTCTCTGCCCCCTCCACACACTACAGGAGGGGCTGGAGCTGCAGTGGTAAAGCTCAGCTCTCTCATTCCACTGGAAATGTCCATCGTCCATTTGGTTGAAGCTGGTGGTGCTCCACCTTGGGCACCCTGAAGTGACCTGGTGACTTTTCCAAACATCCCTTTGCTCAGGCTCAGAGTCAGACTCCCGTGGTCAGGGCCGTGGTCAGACATTGGTGTCTGCATAGAAGCTACCCCGTTGCTCCTGGCCAGTAGGGAATGGGACCCCTGCTCTCAAGTGCGCTCCCTGGAAAGCCCCCTCTGAGAAGGTGAGTCACCTGCCAGCACAGGTGCGGGAACTCAGCTGCCTCTCAGGGCCAGGCAGGACAAGGGACATGCTCCCTGGGTGGCACTTGCTGCTGGAGCTGGAGGGCCTCTGCTCAGCCAGCCTTGATGCCAGGCAGGCATCCAGGTTCAACAAGAGCAATTCTGTCCTCATGCTTTGAAAGACCAAACAGCAGTCTGGGTGTTAGCAATTCATCAGTGGGTGATTGGTGTAAAAACAAACCCTGCACCAGACAACCTGTCCTGCCTAAGGCCCCTTGTTTGTGATTCCTGTGCCAGCATAATACAATATTCTAGTTTTTCAGATCGGTTAGGTGTCACCCAGCTCTGAACCCTGAGCAAGATGTTTTTTATGACGGGCATCACAGGGAAAAGCTTAAAGCCGAAGCACTCCCCAGGCATACGCTGGCGGGGCAGAGACCCCGTCACCTGTGGAGTAACAGCAGATGCACCGGCCCCATCCAGTCAGATGTGTGAGGCTTGGCTGGGTTCATGAGTGCTCGGGGGACCTGCATCTCCACGAGGCTGCCCCTCTAGTGTTCTCTGTCCCGGGGTGCAGTGGCTCAGCCTCTGCTTGTCACAGCTTATTGTGATGGGCAGGAGAGTAAAGTCCCTGGTGAAATCACCAGCTGCCATCTTGCCAGGAAACTGCAGGTGCAAACAGAGTCCCAGGTTTTAGAGGTGGGAAGGAATTGTCTGTATGCGAAATCTTTCCTCACCGTTCTCCCATGCGGTTTAGAGGGTGGGAAACCATTTGGGCCTCTGCTTCAGAGCCCTTGTCGTGCCCCTCCCGGGTGCTGCAGATCCCGCGCCGCTGGCAGTTGCTCACAGACGTGGCCAGTGGGAGCTGACACGGAGGCGTCTCAGCTGGGATCCTGGGTGTCCTGCCTGGTGGGACCAGCCTGCAGAGACAGGGTCACGGCCTGAGGGACATTGTCCAGCGCCCCAAACCTGGGTAGATCAGGCAGACGGGTCCTGAATTGTCATCCCAGTGAGGTGTGTGGGGGGCGCATCTGCTCGTTTTAAGCTGCCTCTGCTTTTTAAAAAGAGTCCAATTTAAGAACTGCCAGATCAAAACGAGCCTGCTAAGAACAGTGCATGTTGATCGGGAAATAATATCCTCAGAAATGACAGTTCCTCTCGGTTCCGCGGTCTATTTAGGATGACACTTATCCAGGGAAACAAAAGAGCGCAGGGGAAGGGAAGGCGCTTTGTTTGATCTGAGTATTATATTTATCTTTAGGAGATGGGGAATTAGTGTCCACTGAGCATAATTACACGCGGCGTCGCTTCTCCCCGCCGTTGTTCTGACGGGCATCCTCCTAGACCCCTGGAAAGGCCAGCCCTTCTTGGGAGGCTCTACCTTGCTTTTGTTGTTCACGCCTGCTGGCGTTGTGGGGCAGTTCCACGTGGCTGGCAGCAGGGGTCGCTGTGAGCCTGTTCAGGGACCAAAGCTGGTCCAGGGATGCCCCAGACAGATTCAGACAAAGCCACTGGCCAGCGAAGGTCACCTGCAGGGGAGAGCTCAGGATTTGGAGTATCTGGTCTGCTCCATTGTGTCAGGCAGGTTTTCTGGGTCTGTGCCCTTCTCCTCCTCCCCCTGTAGTAAATTCGCAGCCCCCTGAGGGCTGTCGGATGTGGGTGTGCTGGACTCTGTGTAAGCGCGCACCACGCGTGTGGCCCTGCATTGGAGGGACCGTCCCTTTTGCCCCACAGGGAAACTGCAGCCTCAGGGAGGTGGAGCACCCTGCCTGGGGCCACACAGCCGAGCCAGGGTGTGGGTTTCATTTAGTCTGACCCACGGCTGGGGTTTAGGTGCGTCCTCTCTGCCACCCAGACCCGGAAGGCGCCGCCACAGGGACTCTGGCCTGGAGAGCGCCCTCTGGGCCAGGCCCCTCTCCACTGCCCGGAGGACAGGGGAGCGCCACACAGGGCGGCAGCCAGGGTCCAAGGTCCTTGCGGGACACGGGACACGGGCAAAGGGCCGTGTCCTGGAAGGATGTCAGCTGGGGGATGCACGATTCCTAATGCCGCCTGCTGGGGGCAGCGGCTTCCCAGCCCAGGGTGGCATATCCGGGTCTTCCCCAGAGGCTCCAGCTCCCCCACCAGATCCATGGTAACCGACAGGAGCCCTGTGGATGTGGGTTCTGGGGGACTGGGGCCCAGGAGCAGCCGAAGGTCATCCTGTGGAAACCCCGCGCAGCGATTCCTGTGCTCTCTCTGCCACTTGCGGTCTGGGCCTCAGTTTCCCCCTGCAGAGAAGAGTTGTGCTAAGGCCGGCCTGCGCTGTGATTGCTCATGGTGCTGCGGCTATGAGCATCAGTGGTCACTGCTGTTGCAGACTGGGCGCTGGGCGGTGTCTCAGTGCCTTATGTCATCAGTGCCCCCCCTGCCACGGCCACGGCCTGCAGGGTAGTTACCACTCCTAGTCAAGGCACCCACTACAAATAGCTGGTCCCTGTGGAATCACACAGCACCACACCGGAGGAGCCAGGGTCCGAACCCGAGTTAGACTCTGACTCCAGACAGAATCCGCGTCCTCACCAAGAGGGCGGAGCCCTTGAGGGTCTCCACGGCATTTCCGGAGTTTTCCTCCTCTCCGTGGCCTCATCCTGGCCTCCCAAGCCGTCACTCTGACCCCCCACTCGGCCAGGTTCTAGGAGCCAGGTCACCCCAGCAGCTGGGCATCTGAAAAAAGTTGTTTTCTCTGAAGTGAACCCCAGGATTCAGGTCTCATTACAGCGTTGGCCCTTTGTGATAAGCACATGGGCTTGGGGTTGCAGCTTGGCACTCGTCCCTAAAAGACTCACCCTTCTGATCTAGAACGTGGTCAGTAAGCGCATGAGGTCCCGCCCAGCCTGTTCCCCCACCACGTAAAGGGCAGTGGGGAGGGCCGGCCAGGTCCCCCGGACCGTGCGCATGTGCGTGTTTACTGTGGGGCTGACTCACTCCTCCTGACCCCCAGACTGGCCTGAGGGGTGCCAGGTGGGGCCAGGTGCACACAGGAAGGAAGTCACAGCATGTCTGTCCCAGGCAGAGCTGAAGCATTTGGTGGACAGGGCTCATTTCCACCCACACTGCCCATGGCAACCCTTCAGACAGGCACCCTTGGGGCTGCACATGACAGCAGAGATGGCCTCTGGGTGCCTGCAGCCCTGCAGCCCAGTGTACTAGGACAGCTGACAAGGCCATGTTCCCGCTGAGAGTGCGGGCGACAGAGGCAAAGGCCGTCCCTAGAAGGATCTTGGCATTGCCCCTGTGTCATCTTCCATGGTGCAGCCTTGCCCTGCGTCCAGATTTGGAAGGCAGAGTCCCTGCACGTGGCCTGCATTGTCACACAAGGTCTCACACTTGGTTCAACGTTCTGCTGTCACCATCCTAAAATTCTTCCATTTTGAACCTGAGGCCTCTGGTTGTCATTTGGCACCAGGCCTGCAGATTGTGTGGCCACCCCAGCCTGCAAACGGACAGGGAAAATGAGGACGTCGGGGGCCGGAGCGTAGCACGGCAGTCAGCCAGCCTTGGAGTCCTCACCCGGGGAGCAGGAATGAGAACTTTGCTCCTCCTACCTCCATGCATGGGCAGCAGGCCTGGCCTCAGGACGGGCGGACAGACTGACACTGTGTTCTCCCTGGCGTGAAAATCCAGACCCCCACCGCAGCTCCGGCCCAATCTGGGCTCCTCCCCCCACTTGCCGTCAGGCGCTCAGGGCCACGGCTGGGCCATCGGTGGGCACGTGTGAGCCATGGCCATTATTGGGTGTTGGCAGTTGACTCTTCCTTGAGTGTCCCAAAGGGAGAATGGCACATGGGCTGTCATCAGGGCAGCACGTGTCACAAGTCTGTCCCCACTCTTCCGAGGAGCTGAGGTCCACGCTGGTGACCTGCCCACAGCCCAGACTCCTCAGATGCCAAGCTCGGTAATGACGTCATTTTACTGATGGAGAGGCGAGGCCTGAGTTACTGGGGCCGTCGCGTCACCCGCTCATTACTGCAGAAGCAGGGCCCAAGCCCGTGGAGCTGGCCTTTCTGTGGATCGGGTGGGCTGGTGACTCCCTGCCGCCCCACAGCACACCTGCAGCCTCAGGTTCACTTTATACAGTGGCCGCTTGCTGGTGTTATCCTCATAGAGGGCTCTCGGGGTGCACAAGGCCACCCCACGGAGGAAGGACCACATCCCGCCAGCCCTCCCCTCCCACCCCCAGGGCTGTGTCCGCGTGCCCATTCCCCAAGTGGCAAGTTCGCAGCCTGTGGAGCCCCGGTGTGGCCGCCTGGCCTGCCTGGTGTGGGGCTGGGGTGGGTGAGTGGTGCCCTGGGTACTGGCAGGGGCTACGCATTACAGCCCTGTGTTCCTTTTAGCTTTTAGTTTTTGTTTTAGGTGCTACGGCTGGAACCCAGGGGCTCAGGCATGCTGGGCAAGGCCCTCGCACTGAGCCCCCCTCAGCCCTTGCATTTGGTATTCTTAGGGCATCTCGTTAAGTCGCCAAGTAGGGCTCA